TCCTTCCTCCCACACAGGACTCCACAGAATGGAGCAAGAATGAGAGGAAAAAGGCAGACAGAAAAGCATGAACTGGAGGCTTGTTGAGTTCCTCTACTTCCTCTTTATATGGGACCATATAACAGTACGGCCTTCCCAACAAGAACCCGCTGCGACCAACCAACATGTCTCCAAGGAATTTGATTGGCTTATTTCAGACAGGGGGCCTTTCCACCACTCGAGGAGCTACTTATCCTTTGTGGAAAGACATCGTCAAGGATTTACAACCCGATATAAAATATACAGGTAGGACGAGCCGTTTTTGCTTCTTCCTTGTTTCGTTGCCTGATGTCTAACTCGTCTCTCGTAGCATGGAAAGGATTAGACCTTGATGATCTGTAGAATGCAGATACTTGGCTGAGCAGTTGTCCACGCATCTCGAGATTTGCAATTGATCATAAACTGAGCATGAATCAGTGACTGGAGGACAACTGGAAGATCCATGTAGACCTGGATTGTCTTAAAATATGATTAATGAGATACAAAAATAATTTAAGAGATGTCCCAGTTCTCTGTTACTTTGAGCCCAGAAGGGTGTGCCTTTCTGGTAGGATTTTAGGAAGATCTTTAACTATCCTCCATCGTGTGTTGAACTGATCTGCCCAAGGACACTGCTACAGTCTATGGAATCTTGAGAATGGTCGTTGGATGAGGGACCTAGAACGGTGATGTAAGGTTCTCTGGTAGGGAAGCCCCAAATTCTCACCAAACCACCTCTCTCCTGATTCTGGGCAGTGGAACAGTGGTAGTTTAGATCAGTGGTGGAGGACAGCTTCGGCCACCAAAAAGATGCTGCTTAGCAGCCAATCAGCCAACAATTTGTGAGAGCATTAGGTAGAGGCCTTCTAAAACCATCCAAGTAGGTCTACCAAGAAAGGAACTATCAAGTGTGAAACATTCCTCCAGTCCTGACACTGGCTTGGAGATCCACCTGGAACCCATCCAGCATCTGGTTTGTTTGTTTTTTGAAGGCCTTCCAAAGTTGCCCTTTTGATGAGAGAAGAGTAGCAGAGAGCCTTTCCTGTTCTGAAGACAAGGACTTTCTGGGATGATCTTAGAGTGGCCATCCAAAAGAGGACCGTTGTTCCCTCTCATGTAACAGTCGTGTTCGACTGTAGGGGGCGGTGCTCATCCCTGTTTCCAAGCCATAGAGCCAGCGTTTGTCCGAAGACAATCTTCCGTGGTCATGTGGCCAGTGCAACTTAGACACGGAACGCTGTTACCTTCCCACCGAGGTGGTCCCTATTTATCTACTTGCATCTGCATGCTTTCGAACCGCTAGGTTGGCGACTTTCCTGTTCTGAAGACAAGGACTCTCTGGGATGATTTGGAGTGGCCATCCAAAAGAGGACCTTTGCTCATCTCATGTAACAGATGCCCCCCCCCCCAAAGCAGTTTATTTACCCAGCCAGCCAGCCACCTCAGTTTTTCTACCACAGGTAGTATTCTAGCCAGCTGGGCAAAAGACAGATGAACAAGCATATTTTCTGATGGTATCTATTCCTCTTGCTGATGAAGATTTGGGTTTTTTTATATACTATTTTACGACTACATTTTATTTTTGTTTTTACTGCTGTTTATGCTTCCCGCTGTTTCATTCTCAGGATTGGTTTTAATTTTGTAGGGAGAGAACATTATATGCATATATAAATGTGGAGATGGGCAATGAATATCGGTGTGTGTATTTATTTTGAAGCCACCCTGAGAGGGCTAGAGACAAAATGAGCTGTCCGTTCCACCAGGAGAGTGGAAAAGTTTCTTTTCTGCAGGGTAACGGCCAAGCTAACCCTGCTAGCGTAGCAAATTACAGGCCCAAAAGGTAGCTTTTTACCAATAACTGTTTATAGTATTAGCAAATTTCTTTTCCATGTGGGACTTTGTTTTGTCCTGTTTCTGCACCAAACTGATAGATTTTTTAAAACCTCAGACCCCCAATTTTGCTTTTGCATCTGTGCTTTGCGTATAGAAAGATTCGTATCCATTTTCACATATTGTTTCACATATTGGTGAGCTTTTTGCTTTTTAAAGCATAAGTTCTTTTTTTAAAAAAAGACTTGAGAAATCATAGTGTTTCAAAAATGGCTCAACGCAAAATAGGGTGGTGTTCCGGGACTTTGTTCTGTCCTGTTTCTGCACCAAACTGATGGATTTTTTAAACCTCAGACCCCCCCCCCCAATTTTTGCTCTTGTATCTGTTCTTTGCGTATAGAGAGATTCGTATCCATTTCCCCATATTGTTTTCCTTCATGTTTAGTGAGCTTTTTGCTTTTTAAAGCATGAGTTCTTTTTATTAAAGACTAGAGAAATCATAGTGTTTCAAAAACGGCTCAACGCAAAATAGGGTGGTGTTCTGGTGGGACTTTGTTTTGTCCTGTTTCTGCACCAAACTGATAGATTTTTTAAAACCTCAGACCCCCAATTTTGCTTTTGCATCTGTGCTTTGCGTATAGAAAGATTCGTATCCATTTTCACATATTGTTTCACATATTGGTGAGCTTTTTGCTTTTTAAAGCATAAGTTCTTTTTTTAAAAAAAGACTTGAGAAATCATAGTGTTTCAAAAATGGCTCAACGCAAAATAGGGTGGTGTTCTGGTGGTATATTCATTCAGGAGTTGTGATTTAGCCCAAATTGAGTTGAAATGTGAAAGCAATTTCTCCCTTGTGACTTGAGTGTCAACAAATGTATGTCCGAGTCTCTTAGTTAAGCAACTCTTTGGCTTTAACTCAAATGACAGATATCCTCTAACTGGACATTGTGGATGGATAAAACAATGTAGGGTATACCTCACCTCAATGTGGTGTCTAAGAGGAGCAATATTGGAATGGGAACTCTGGGCTGTGATGTGACAGTGTTATGGACTGTCTTCAAAATACATGGAAGTTCTTAAGTGCTGGGTGTTTCTTCTTTTGATAGCAAAATGTGTTTTGTGTCAACTAAAATGCTGAGCTCCGAATTGTTAAGCCTCTGTCTTCCTTTACAAAGAGGATGCCGTGAGCTCCTTAATGGTCGGCCAAAGAGATATCTGATGGATTAGCCATGGTTGAAGTCTTTATACCAGATAATCATCTTGATTCTGCTTAGCTGAGACTATCTGAGCTGTAAACTACAGACGTTTAAGTCAGAACTGAGCGTTTGCCCTAATTAGAGTGCATCCACTCAATCAATGGGACTTAGGTTATTGTTGACTTACCACGTTTCATTGATCCCAAGTCTACTGTACTTGGGAGTAGCAACTTGGATTTCCCTGAAGGCATTCGGTGGCATAGACAAGCTCTGGTATGACTGGAGACAATCTGGGGAGGTCACCCATTGCTCCTCCCTGTTCTGTATGGCAGTTCCAGTAATCTTACTCATTCCTCGCTTACTGCTTGAAGTGACACACCTTGAAAATGAAAAGTCTTGCAAGTCCAGAGAATGATTTACACATGGAATCAATAGAGAGCTCTGTTTTCAACTCCAAAACTCATCAGCTTAAACTAGCCTGACTGACTGTTCCAGATGAGTGGATCATTGGTCTAGAATAGTGGTTCCCAAACTTGGGTCTCTGGTTCCAGTAATCTTACTCATTCCTCTCTTACTGCTTGAAGTGACACGCCTTGAAAATGAAAAGTCCAAAGAATGATTTACACATGGGATCAATAGAGGGCTCTGTTTTCAACTCCAAAGCTCATCAGCTTAAACTAGCCTGACTGACCGTTCCAGGTGAGTGGATCATTGGCCTAGAATAGTGGTTCCCAAACTTGGGTCTCCAGATGTTCTTGGCCTACAACTCCCAGAAACCCTGGCCAGCACAGCTAAGGGTGAAGGCGTCTGGGAGTTTTAGTCCAAGAAGATTTGGAGATCCAAGTTTGGGAACCACTGAACTAAGGATCAAGATGGCAAAATTGATTAGTTATTCCAATTAGAGCAGTGGATCCCAACATTGGGTCCCAAACCAAGAGACTGCAACTCCCAGAAACCCTGGCCAGCACAGTTAAGGGTGAAGGCTTCTGGGAGATTTAGTCCAGGAACATCTGGGGACCCTAGGTTGGGAACCTTTTGTTTAGAACACTGGTTCTTAACCTTGGGTTACTCAGGAGTTTTGGACTGCAACTCCCAGAAGCCTTCACCACCAACTGTGCTGGCTGGGGGTTCTGGGAGCTGCAGTTCAAAAACATCCAAGTAAGAAAGGTTAAGAACCACTGATTTAGAATGTCTGGAGGAGTGTGGGTAGCTAGACTAAGATGTTTCTGTGTCTTCTCCAGTGCTGGGAGACCATGCCATATTAATGAACATCTGTCTTGGAGAACAAGTTGCTGGACATACAGTTATTTGAAATAAACAGAACAGCAAATATGATGTTTGCTTGTTTGTTTTTTTTTTTTAATGAAATAACAATGTGCAGTGAAGCTACAAAACTCTAAACACAGATTCTCTTCCTTCCAACCCTGGCTATAATGAGCTAGCAAAATAACCGTTTAGTGATTGGGCTGATTTAATTATAATTATTACAAGGGGGGGAAATATAAAAGGGGAATCTCAGTTTTCTCCCCCCCCCCCTTCACGGTGTAAAACTGATTATTTCACAGGGTTATTATATATATATATGAAAAAAAAAACAGCAGTATCAGGGCACATTGATGAAAGAAAAAACGTTATTTATGTTTTGTGTGTAAACAGGGAACATTTATTAATATCAGAAAATAGGCCTGCCATTTTGAGGCTTATATCTTCCTGTATTTATATGGTAAATTGGCACAGAAATTATGAATAGGACAAGAATGAATGCTCAAGCCAAGATCCGAGGGTCATATAAATACTACTGGTTCATTATTTTTCATTTCTTCACTCTGTAATGGAGCATAATTTAATCTTTCCTCAAGGATGATAAGCCCTCCTGTTTCTCAGGGTTCCCCTTTTTGTTTTTCAAACTAGTTAAAAAATACAGCTCCATCCTCCCATTTTTCTTCCAAAGGCCCCATCAAAATAAATTTAGTCGTGGGAACCAATTAGTTTAAACTAATTAAAACCAGTGGCATTTACCTCAGTAAATCACTGATCCCATGGATCTACTCTAGCTCGGGAAAATAATTGGACTTTGTCCCAAATGTTAAAATGAAAAAAGGGAAATGTTACTCATTACTTTTTTAAATAAATTGGGACACTAATTTCATTATTGTTGAAAAGTAGTGACACTGGCAGAATTAAAAAAGAATAATGAGCAATATAGGTTGGTTGGTTGGTTGGTTGGTTGGTTGGTTGGTT